TTGAAAAATCCACTCGTCTGTGACGAGAGGACGGTGGAGCCCGACGAGCAGCTGCCCGGCCGGCCGCTGTAATTACACGGCCGGCCGGGAGCTTTACATTCAAGCGATCAGGCGTCTCTAGAGACGTTCGATCGCTTGTATTAGCAGTTGTCACTGCCGTTGCCGGGTCCCGAGATCCGCTGTGCCCGATGCGGCCGGGACCGGCACCCAGGTGTGAACCAGGCCTTAAGGTCCGCCTTAATATCCAAAACACTTACCGAACAGAAGGACGCATTATCCTCAGACACTGAAGCAGATGATTTGTCTTCCAGATCAATGTGAATTAATGTAAGATGTTCCAATAACGAGTCCACATCATTAAGTTTTGTATCCCTTTCTTCTAACTCCAGTGTATTGTTATGATCTAAACCATCCATTAGCCTTGCTTCAGTATATTTTATCATGTCTGCTCCGTCTGACTCCTTGAATTGTAAAAAAAACAGAAGCCATTATGTTTATATGAAACATAACAAAGCTGTGCTATCTGAAACATGACTGAAACATGGCTGGACAAACCCAAGCATGCAACAATGTATAAAGTTGGCTAATTCTAGTCTGAGCGAAGGGTGACATTTACCCAGTAGCACCCTAAAGCCGCCCCACATTTAGACCTACCAGCAACTATGTAGTGGAAGGACTCTCCTGATTGGATTCAACTTGAATGGATAGATTAGACAGGTCCTCGTATTACATAGTTTTGGAAAATCTAAAGTTGATTGTATGTTCAGATTGTAACATGTATGGTGTGAGGGACATCAGCACTAGTCTATATTTGAATTTGCTTTTGTATCCATGCCTTACACGCATGAATGGAGTGGAGAGGGATTAGAACTTCTGTCAGGTTCTCTATTTTTCCCAGTGACCATTATCACAGAACATGAAAGACTATCCCAAATTTTGGGTGGTTACCAGAATAGGAATAGATGGGAAATCTTCATAGGGGACACTAGTTCTATTGATCCTACTGACCACCAGGAATTTCCCTCTCTTTGGAGGGATTGCCACTCATTTCCTGTTGTGGTTATTAGACAGGAAGTGAAGAAAAATCCCCCCAATGGGACACAGATGGCAAAAAAACAACTGCCAGGGGTTCTAATCCTCCTTTACTCTATCCAAAACTAAAAAAAACGTATGTGCTTAAGTTCTACTTTAAAAGAATGCACGTTAGAGAGACCCTGTCAGGTCCCAAAAACATATCAAAATGTCACTGCCCTGCATTAGAAGTGGAAGGCTACTCAGCTTTCCAGAGTCCCATGTTTCCTTCCCCTTCTAAGTGCTGTTGACTACATCAGTCACTTCAGCATTCAGCACCGAATAAGTGTGATATCGGTCTTCCTGGATGCATGCTATGGTCCCATTCTTCAACCTCTACATCACAACAGGACCCAGCAGTGACTATAGACTCAGAGGAAGGAACAACAGCTTGCATTGGGGGACACAAGCATCCCACCATTCCAGAAGTGTTCAATGCCAAAGAGACAGATGGAGGCAGCAGCGCTGACATGGAGGTAAAATAGGAAACACAGGCTTGCTGGTGAGACAGACCTCCTTCTGAGAATGCTAGCTGCTTGGCTTTAAAACTGATTCTGTGGCGCCAATGTTTTTTTAGATCACTGGCCTATATCTGGCAGCTATAGAGCCGCCTTATTGCTTGTATGGTACCGGGCAGTGTGCGTTCCCTCTCCCTCTGCCAGCTGGTCTGGGAAGGCGGGTCTGTTCACTTCAATCAGAGCGAGATCAGCACAATTCCACCGGCTGATCTCTCCTCCGATCACTGAATGTGGAAGTGATGTCTACGACATTAATTCCGATGTAACTCTGTCATTTCACTGGCTGCTGTAGCTGGAGAAGAAGCTGGTGAAGCAGATCTGTGCTTCTTCAGGTTCTTTGAGGTCCTTAGGCGACATTAGGGGACGTCTCCATGAAGAGGACCTCTCACTGTATCTGTGCTATCACATTGTTAGCCCCCTATGCGATAGCAATAAAGTTAAGTGTAAAAAAAAAAACCTAGGAAAATGAAAGTCACATATTAAAAAAAAAACCACAAAAAAACACCAATTTTTATATTTTACCAGAAAATTGGGTTTTATATTCTGTTACTTTCTGTGTAGTAAAATTTATTTTAGTGTACTTTATCCTAAAAAATTGGTTTGATAAACATTTGCATAAATATAGTGCGACCTAAGAATTGCAACTAGCGTTTGCAATTGTAACAGGGCCTCTGCTTTCAGAAAATATATAATTGTTTGGGGGTTTTAAATTCAGATTTTATTATGCGTATGCAAAAATTGAGAAATTGCTCCGGATGGCTCATGGTTAACTCCTGACATTTTTTTTTTTTTATATCCAAAACACTTACTGAACAGAAGAATGAAAATCTTATCAGCTAAACACAGAAGGAATTAATAAATAAAAGTGTCTGAGACGAGTTCTATTCTAATGGGTGCTATAGCAACCAATCAGCTTCTGTATTTCATTTTCTCCGAAAATAACAATCAATGTAAAAGCCGATTGACTGCACTCCAGTTGAGACAAAGTTTGTTTGAGACACTTTTATTAATCCCCCCCTTCCCCCTAACTACTTTTCTTTTATACTAGTGAGTGAAATAAGTATACTAGTCAGAAGGTTTGATGGAAAAAAAAAATCAGCTCTGGTGGTAGTATTTTTACTTGTATATATACACATCTGACCAGAGAAAGAAAATGTGAAGAGCGACAGATGGATTTGGTTCTGAAAGGACAGCTGGAAGGCAGGTACTATAATAAACTAGGCTTTTCAAGGAGATCAGCAATGGCATCCATCAGGCAATCAGCCTTTGTGTTTCCATACAGTGTTCACATGAGAGCCTGTGCATACACTAACACCAGTGATCGGTGGTGGGGGCGTCTCTCCTCTACCATCGTGTTGTGTATGCTCAGGATGACGATCTCACGATTACTATACTCACAGTTTATCTTCAGTAATCATTACACAACACACAAAGCTCCAAACCAGGAAATCATAACCAGCGTGGTTACAGAGCGACCCGGAAGTAGTCAGTGTAGGAGCAGGAAGTGGACGGGGCGTACACAAAGGGAACTGAGAGCCCTTGGAGGCCACATTTCATTGTTACCTGGTTAGGGTCAGTTCGGCATGTGGAATTTAGGATTTAAGTGGGTGCTGATCTGTCACACAGGGGATCAGTGTCAGCATTGCGGAGTTATGTGCAGTGACAGTATTACAGGGGGTGAGGGGTGGTTGCACTGTGACCATTGCTGAAGTAGGAGGAGAGGAGTGAGAAAGGTGCAGCGTGAGGACTATGAGATGACATGGAGATGCAGGGTAAGGGGTCAGCTGTAAAGGGTGATGTGGTAGTCCTCGGTGGATGATAGGGGATGCAGTGTCAGGGAAATCATGGTTCATGGGTAAGCTGGGTAATGGGGTGGGGGGCTTGGGGTGTCACTGTTACAGGGTGACATGAGGCTGCAGGGTTAGAGGAAGACCTCTTCCCTTGCACACATCCCTGCCTGATGTGTGCCAGTGCGCGTGCAGTTTTTCCCTCTGTCTTGCGATGGAGGAAAAAAATGACATTACCGGACCCATCTTATGGTCAGCACCACACACATTCCAATCTGACCATACAATTTTTGTACAATCAACTTTAGATCTACCATAACTATGTAATATGAGCACCTACCTAGCCTCTACAATTAATGTACATCCAATCAGGCAAGCCCTTACACAACATAGTTGTTGGTAGATGTAAAGAAAGTTGTACAATCATATTGTAAGGTGTGTGTTGAGCTTAAAGGAGAACTATGTGGTAAGTGTTTTCCCCATAGTTCTCCTAAATGTCACGGGAGGACACAAACTAGCTTCCTCCCGTCACCCAAAGCTCAGTATATTGCGAGCTACAGCTCGTGGTATACTGAGACCGCCGCAGCCGGGACGTATCCCGACATTGCTGTCGAGATCCACCCAGCTATCTAGAGGCAGAGCCAGCTGTACCCGCGCCCTCCCCCGTCCGTCCCGCCAGTCAGCAGCTGACGTGTGACAGTTTAATTGCCACACATCGGCTCAAACTAGTAAACTAGAAAATCACTCACCTCATAGTTCTCCTTTAAGTGTATGGGTAGCTGGATCTAAACAGACGGGCATCCATTTACATCCGGTTACAGAAGTATGGGGTGAGTGAAAAACACTCATCCCCATAATTCAAGCTGACCTGTGACTCTGAAGCTGTCACAGGTCGGCTCTATTGATCAGGAAGTGAGCGAACACATACCTGCCGATCTCTGACTTCCTGATCCTCTTCCTGCAGAGAGCAGTGACTGTCAGTCACCACTCCCCACAGGGATTCCCCCCTCCCCTCTCTGATCTTCCAGCGCTGACTGGAGGAAAGGATGTGGGAGGGTGTGGGCACAGCTGGTTCTGCCTCTAGGTAGGCAGAGCCAGCTGTCAATCAGCCAGCGGGGTGGATCGCTACAGTATTGTCGGGATCATCTCGGCTGTGGAGCGGCCCTGCGCTCTCAGCATATAGCGTGCAATAGCCCGCTGAGTTTTGTGTCACTGGAGGACACAGTATATGTCCTCCCATGACCCTGAAGAGAACTATGGGCTAAAAAGGTTGCCCCATAGATCTCCTTGAACCCCTGATCAGGTCTAGCGATACGGATATCTGATCCATTTGATTTTCCCGACCTGGTCAGAGCCAGGGGTAACTGGACATAAACGGATGTCTGTCCCTTTAGATCGGGCTGAAAAACTGACAGGCAGATCTGATTGGAAAGCCTGAGTGAAAGGGGCCGAACACCGGTACAGGGTGCTTGGTGATGGGACTTAGATGAGGGGGTATTGCAGTGTCAGTGCAGAACTCTGACTTAGGGGTTCAGGGTGAGGGGACCTGGTTCACTGTCCATGTAGTGTCAGTGATGCTGCAGCATGAAGGGAGCTGGACGACAGCCTTACAGAGTGTAAAGTTAGTATTGAAGGGTGTTCAGCGAGGGGAGTTAAGTGTTAGAGAGTTCAGTGTCAGTGCTACAGGGTGACTAGGAATTGGGGTGCATTGTCAGCATTGCAGGAAGACATGGGGGTGCAGTGTCAGTGCTACAGGGTGAGTGGATGTACAAGGTGCTGCTCCTGGTCACTTCACTCAAATCCACCATCTTGTAACCAGCCACAAAATACACTAACTATAAGAAAATGCGGCACTCCTGTATCAATTGAAGATCGACGTGTAATCTGTATTTCATCAATCTGCATACAGCGTATGTCGCAGACTAAATCTCTAATGTGTTTCACGCACACTTGGCTTAATCACAGATAATATAGTGTAAACCCAGTGTAGCCATTTATAGGAACTTCGCCCCAACAATGGGTGTTAACCCACAAAACACCACAACTGCACAAAAAAATAGGTATTAACTCTATACATTAAACTGC